TTTTTTTTTTTTTTTTTTTTTTTTTTTTTTTTTGGCATAGTGGAATCGCTTGGTAACTTATTTTGGGTTTTAAATGGCTCATGAGTTATAGAGCTTTGAATTCGATGGCCCTTTCGAAAGACTATGAACGGATTTCTCAAAACGGCAGCGAGTTCCAGCCGTTTTACTAAGTAAGTTTAGTACAAGACGCCGTTTTGCAGACTTTACTGTCGTCATAATGTTCGGTCCCTATACCTGAGTTGATGAGGTAAGAAGTGGGAAACCCCTAAGAATCCTTTTCTTTGCCTGTAAGGGAAATTTTTAAATGCTTTTTCGGTTTATCTTGTTTTTAAAGGTTAAGGCAGACTTACCAATTAATAATATCGAAAATTAGAATTCGGTGAGATGTGATTGGACTAGTAAGGAAAAAGTTTGTGGCACAATATACTTGTCTAGCTCTGAATTAAAATTTTGAAGTTGCAGGTTCTTTTAGTGCAAGACGCCTACACTATCTCAAATTAAGTGTCTTCGACGATTTACTGCCTGTAGACAAATGTGTCTGTCTTTTTGTTGTTCTACCTACAATATATTTAATTGTACCGTAGTTCAGTAAGTTTCTGTTGCTCGTTTCTCGTGTGTAACACTAAATTGATTATAAAAGGCTTTCTTTGGTTGTTGTCAGCTGAGGAATTTTGTCAATTTTGATTCATAAAGTTTTCATCATGTTTGAAGATACGGAGGGATTGGGTAAATCTGTAGTATTTGTCAAACTGTCTGCACAGGTGTTTTTTTCTTTTAGTGTAAGCAAAAAATTTGTATTGTTTCGTTAGGTTGCTTTTATAAATTATTTACTCGACTAAACTTGTTGAAGTCATTTATTTTATATAGATGAGTTTTGAAATTCAATGGAGTGGAGAGTTTTTTGTAGTTACTGCTGTAAGTGGTCAGCCGTTGCGCTGCAATAACCTATAGGTTGATTTAAAGAGAGTACGGTCCTAACAGAAGCGTAGGAAAATCAGTACTCCATCACTTTTACATTGGTGAATTTGTATATGTTTTTCAAGTCAGTTTTGTTTTCTTGTACATTTATTGTCTTGACAATCCAAAAAAAAATTACATATTTCATTGCTTGTAGATTGTACAGTTGTGTGTTGATCTCTTGTAGAGGTTTTATTATTGTTGTTCCTTTTTTTTGTGTAGTGGTTAAAGATTGAATTACATACGGTTTAATGTGCGGTAAAAAAGTGAGCTATTTATTTTTCAATTATTGATAGTCATCAGTCTTTGACCTCAGAAGTTCATTACGGGACTGGGTGAAAATTCTCGAAACATAACTTATCGGAAGCGTAGCCGTTCAGAAACGCGTTTTAAACCTCATTTTCAGCCTATTCTGCTGTCTTTTTGTAGTGAAATGAGGAAGGTTTCCAAGTCAATACTTTCAGCTGCCATTCCAAAAACACTTGCTTAAAAGATAAGCGTGATTTTTAATTGCTCATTTAGTGTTTGCTACCCTGTTCTTTTTAAACTGATGGATGTTATTTCAATAAAAAATTGATTATCACAACAATGATGGTGCGTTTTTTGTTTAAGTTCACTTTTCTCTGAAGTGGTTCGCAGGAGTAAAAGGAGGGACCGTTTAGATAGATACAAGTTTAGGTGTTCTTTCCAGTAACTTCTCAGTTGAGGCTTTCCGTGCTGGTGTCTTTGGGTGGAGGAGAGTGTTAAGCATTTGGAA